CATGCACACTCCGACCTCACCTGCACACACACGTTCACATGCACTGACACATGCACACGCAGACACATACGCATGTATGCACACACATATACACACTCAGGCACATAAGTATGCACACAAACACACCCACACATGCACACACATATATGTATGCACACACACATGCACGCGCTAGGTGTACACAGGGTGGGGGTCACTGCAGGCCCTCACTAATGTCTAAGTCGGGGACAGCCTGCCACCCAGTTACCACCTCAACCTCAAGTCTCATGAAGACTGCGGGGCATGGGGCCTGCACAGGCGACACGGTCAGAAACTCCTCTGACATGTCCAACCACTGCAGGGTCCCTCCCGCCAGCAAGGGGGCTCTGCCCCAGGACTCTGATGAAGTGAGCCCTTCTGACGTGGGGCAGGCAGGTGCCCCTTTTAGAAATGGCCGTGGCTGGCTCCTCAGTGCTGAGAGCCTGAGATGGAAATCCAAGCAGGTCACAGGGCACCAAGGGCACCGTGGACTCCACTTGAGCATCCAGTAGCCATCCTATGTGAGGCACCGTCCCAGCCAGTGTCCAGTTGGGCCTCAGGTGGGGGACAGAGAGGGGAGTGACCCGGACCAAGCAGCAAACCACACCCTCCTCCAGCTCAGGGACTTCTGGTCACAAGGACACCGCAACATGAGGGGATGGCTGTCCACGGGCGAGAGTGGACAGAGGAAGCCCCACAGCTGGGACTCATGGGCTGAGGCTCTCTGGAGAGGCAAGTAGCCCACCCTCCACGGGGCACCCAATGCTGGTACCCACCTAACAATGAGGCAGGTGAGGCATTACTGCACACGGACTCTGTGAAGCAGGGTTCCCCCTTAGTTTGGGGATGCCTGTATGATGTCATGCTGAGACAGAGTAACCCAGGAGAGGGTGTGCCAAGTCCCTGGCTGGGGCAGGATAGGCACAAGGGCCTCCAGGTGACAGAAGTCCCAAGAGGGTTTCCAGCTAACTTGAGGGGCTGGGGGTGGGGGAACGAGTTGTTCGAGCAGACAATTGCCGGCTAATGCACACTCCTGTTTAGGGCGAATATCCCTGGATGGCCACTTCGATCGCTGCCTCCTCACTGCCAGACGCAACCTGACTTCATGGTTACCTGACCCTGTGACATAGCAACACCCCTCCCCTCCCCCTCTCCCACCCCCTAGAGCGCAGAGAGCTTATCCTGGGTCCTGTCTGCTCAGGGCCAGTCCAGGGTGCAAGCGAGACAACGCACAACAAAGGAAGCTCAGGGAAATTAGCTCACACTTCGCAGCAACTGCATGCCTGCAGGGGCCTTCCGAGAAGTGGTGCAGGGCCGGCGAGCGGAAGACCCCTTTCCTGGCTCCTTGAAACACGCCTGACTCAGAACCTTGCTCATCCTTAATGGGGGCAGTCTCCCGGGGGCCCCTGTTCAACAAGGGGGGGGCAGGTGTGGAGCACCCACCAATCACAGGAGTCAGAGTGCTAGCAGTTCATGGGAGACTAGATTCTGTTCCACGTAATTAGACCGGGGCCCATTCTTCTGTCTCAGCAAAGGCCGACGAACCGACAGGCTCAGAGTGCCGCCCAGGCCTGGCCTCCGGTCCCAGCAGCCCCCTGCCTGCCTGCAGTGGAACACAGGGTCCCAGCACCTGCCTGCAGTAGGACACAGAGTCCCAACAGGGCCAGGGCTCTGGCCAGGGAGCTGAGTGGCTCCTGTGGACATGAGCAGAGTGAGTGAGTGGCCGGCCAGTGGTGTGACCAGCACTGGGCACTCCCTGCCCGACCCCAACCATATTTTTGTCGGAGGGGAGGGCATCCCAGGGGGGCATGTGGTTGACCAGGAAGACCGCACAGCCCTCTCTGGCCTCTCCAAGGTCCAGTCTCTGCCACTGTGCTCAGCCCTGTCTGACACCACAGGCCAGACTCTGGGGGTAGAAGTCTGCTGGGGCTCCCGGCCAGCCCCTCCCC